CGCTTGCTCTCTTCCAGTACTCCAGCTTCTAGGGCAGCTTTAGATTGCCCACGGAGAACAAATTCCTTTGCACGTGTTGGCTCAAAACAAGGCATTACCCGACACGGGCCTCGAGGATGGAGGTTGCAAACTCACTGTTGTCGTCCGTAAACTTCGATCTGAAGCCCTGTTTGCAACAAGGCAAATTTGGTTGGAGCCGTCTGCTGGGACAAGGTTAGACTCCAGGCATGGAGAGGTAGAAAACAAGCTTTCAACATTCTCCTGGACAGGAATAAAGACCATACTCACTGACGGCAATCCCATCCTGGCAGTAGCAAATTTCAGCGAGACTTGCTGCTTTCACACCACACATCCAACATCTTTGCCAAACCCGAATATGGAAACCTATGTCTCATTGGAAGCCATCCACCTCCAAAAGCCGCCGTCAAGCCCTCGAGAAACTTGGGAAGGTGCTGCCGGAACAGCCTAAACTCGCCCTGTGAGTTTGAGGGTCTGGCCACTGGATCGTCAGCGAACTCCCGGGTGCTTTCCTAGGCGCTTGCACTCTCATGATGCAGCGCTGGAGCAACTATGGTTGCGGCTCGCAGACAACGGATGGGAGGCTTAGGCAGGCTAGGATTCGAAGTTTCTCAGCTTTTTGCCTAAAGCTTGCAGTATCAACTGTGAGCACTCCTCAACGTGGTTCCGTGCAATCCTCCATCATGAAATCCTTTCACACAATCCCTTGAGCTTTGAGAGCGCTCAGCAGATGAAGTCAGGTTTCAGGCTTGCATGTGGGCAGGGTCCTATTGTGTAGGCCTCAGTTTCTGACACGAGGCTCTGCGATCACAATTCTCATCCTATGCTGCAGATGCCTAAGGCATTTAAAAGTTAAGCCAGCAAGTGCCCAGAAGGGTACCTGAGCAAATTGGTCTTCCTGATTACATGTCTGACTGATGAAGCTAACTGAAACACCATCTTTCACTGTCTTCAGAGATCTTCTTGTGTCTTGATCGACTTTGCCAGCATCTGCTTTAACCCTTGCTGCTTGCATAAAGGCATGGCTTTTCAACGTGAGCCAGGGCTCCACAATCTTCACGCGAAGCTCGGGATCACGCTCCGTCCTTGATTGCATTGTCGGCTGCGACCGACTGCAGTTTTTGTGAGAACGGACTTTCAAACGGGATGGATGAAGGCTACATTGTCAAGACTACCTTGCTGTCTCAAGGCCATTTGGGCGACGGGGTCGTCGCCCAAGGGAGGAGCATGCACCATCCAGGTATGATGCGAAGTTCAAAGTTTAAAGGATAGCAAACGCCAAAAGAGCCTGATGTACTACATTGCAGGAACTGGTTCGATGCGAGCAAACGCAAGCTTGTCCCCGTGAAGAGCTTTCAAGGAGTCTATGGCGAGCTCTTGCAGCCAAGGAAGCCACTTGGTTTTCAAACGCTTTCAGAAGCTGCACTTTCCAAGTCCTAGCAGCCTCAACCCTTCACACGCCTGAAACCCCGAAATTCTGAACCCCATGCCGCCGCTGGAATCTAAAACGCAGAATCCCCCAAAACATCTCCTACACTAAACCATGAAACCCTTACCCAGCCCTCCCAAAGAGCAATAAGCACCCCGGCCGGATGAGAGCGTGCATGCCGAAGCGGTCCTCGACTGAACTACAATTCGCTCGTCTTGGTAATTTGCAAGACTTGGGGCTCGGCAGATATATCCCAAATATGGGGCTCATGAGAAAACAAGCGCCGCGGAGCAACGTGCAACATGCAAACAAGCCCGGCTCCAGCAGCTGGGGGCGGAGTTCGCCCTCCTCGGGGTTTCCTGGCCAATGTCTGCTCTGATGCTCAATGCAGCTGGGGCGACTTCTTCCGAGGACTTACCTGCGAGGAATGCCTCGCGATCTACAGTATCCCCTTCTACTTGAGCAAGTGGTAGGTAAGTAGGGAGGGTTCTGGGCTTCTCGCGGAAAGGTGAAGAAAGGATTCAGGACGATGTACGGCATGAGAGGCTGTGACAAGGATGAATCTGCACTTGAGCATGAGCAGGAGGAAAGACTTGGCGAATGAAGATAGAGAGTCTATGGTCTGGAGAGGAGGCGAGACACCAATATTGTCTGAAATGTAGAGGTTGTGTTGTAGGGGTATATTGAGGACTTGTGGTGTCTCTGTATATAAACCTATACATACATACATGCATACATA